TTTCGGTTTGGAGCTCCCAGAATGACGTTTTGGTAAGGTTTTCGGTGTTTTCGACGTTTGTGCTCTGTTTTAGAAACAGAGGATTCTGCTTTATTTTAGATTAGATTCTGATGTGTTAATTTGCTTTGCAAGGTTCTTATTGTGTTGTTAGTTAAGGAAACTTGGTGCTTGAGTTTAGTGAATGTGAGGTAGTGTTTGAAGCGTTTTCGGTTTCCGAACAGCAAGGTGAGTGGCTCTCATTCGTAGGAAATGAACATGATTCAAGGTTGAGGTTTGTGTAGTATTGCATTTGTAATTCTATATATTATGTTATTTGGTTATTATGATGATGAATATGATTATGTTGATTTACATATGATGCCACTTGTGACGGAAATGAGAATGTGAATTATGAATATGATGTTGCAAATGATGCATAGGATTTTGGAAACGGTTTGTGAAACCTATATATTTTGAATGTGAATATTGGATGAGTTGAACTTTCTCACTCCAAATATGTGGGTTGATCATGACAATCATCCGTAAGTGTGTTTCAAAATGTATTTGAATCAATATGTGAAAACTATGCATCATTGACAACCATTCTAAGTGAATTGGATTAATTGACTATTGTTCTCAATAGGATCTTTGGATATGAAAGGCGTGCTAGGAAAGAGTGCTCTATGTGTTTTCTATTAGTGTGTGATTCAGGATTATACGAGGTTCGGATGGTACGTTGAGCTTTACTCCTAGAAGATACGGGGTAAGGTTGGGTGTTGAGTTTGCTCAGTAATTCGTGGTTTTGAACGTATGTGAGTGTGCAAGCAAAACGGGAGTTGTATGGAGTCCGTTTATCCAATGAGTGAGTTGTGTTTCGAACAAAAGTCATTGATCTTAAAATGAAAAAATGTGTGTGATTGTATGGCTTGCCAAGGAAGGTAATTGTGCATGTGTGCTTGTGATTGCTTTTGAACTATATGGTCCTTGATATTTGTTTGATATGGAAATTAAGTGATTTGGAAAACGTTAGCTGATCATTCAAGCATGAGATGTTGAATTATACGTGTAGAGTAAAGAACAAGTTACGTATGAACACCCTGAAATCTGAGTTTTCTTTGATTAGTTGTTTATTTTATTGACGGTGCCTACCTAAAATTTTATTTCTAGGCACCTCATTTAAAAAAGTTATGGTGTTAACATACGTGTGTCGATCCTCAAAAGTGTTTCTGGATCTGCCGCTGTATACTACAATGAAATTCTACTCCCTTGGTTGTAGATGTGATTTTTCATCTTTAGGGATTTTACACATAAATCTATGTATTCTTTATCTTTATCTATTACTATTACTTTGTGTTGGTTGTGGCTGTGATTTTTCATTTTTAGGGTTTTTACACAAATCTATGTGCGCTTTATCTTTATTTATTATTACTTTGTGCATGTTTAGTCGTTGTTATAGGTAACAATGCTAGACATGTTTTTGACTAACTGATGGCCTGTAGATGTTTTAGGATTGTGTTTAGATATAGAATGGCTTTGCACATGCAACTTTCCCCTCTGGTGTTCTCGCACATACTGTCCGACCGACTTACGTTTCTAATTCCATTCTTTTAAGGTTGTCGTCGACTCGTTGCTGATATGTTGAGGTCTTCATAAAGTGCTAATGCATGTTAATGATTATATTCAACTTCCATATCCTTGACAATAGCAGACTGAACACTCCTATACCAGAAGTGGAGATTTGACATATTGCTAGCTATCATCTATGGTCTGTGGCGTTTGCTAACCTTTAATCCTTCTCGGCTGCTTGTTGCACTGCTTGGTTATATGCTCCAAGTTATAGCTCTCTGTGAACTTCCACCATGCTAGTTACTTTTATCAAAATATTTACATTACAAGGTAGAAGTTTTCAGGTATCTTCAAGAAAATACTAGCAGTGTCGTTTGTGGGGATTTTGGCATGGATTTCCAGGTGATCCAACCACCTCCGCCGAAGATATGCGGTTCTCCGAATGGTCCCCCGTGACAGCACCGAGAAAAGGCTAAAAGATGGAAGGTGTTTAGCCTACAAAGAATACGGTGTTCCAACAGATGTGGCCAAGTATAAAATTATCTACGTCCATGGTTTCAAGTCTAGTAGGCATAATGCTTATGTTGCAACTACTCTATCTCCAGAAATTATTGAAGAGTTAGGGGTCTACGTTGTGTCTTTTGACAGACCAGGTACGGGGAAAGTGATCCGAATCCAAAACGAACAGTAAAGAACCTGGCAATGGATATCGAAGAGCTTGCTGATCAGTTGGAACTAGGATCCAAATTCTATGTAATCGGCTATTCCCTGGGAGGGCAGGCAATTTGGAGATGTCTTAAGTACATACCTCAAAGGTTAGCTGGAGTAGCAGTATTAGCTCCGGCTGTTACTTATTGGTGGTCTAATTTTCCCGCAAACGTATCAAATGAAGCCTTCAACCAGAAGTCGATGAAAGACCGGTGGGCAATTCGCGTTGCTCACTATGCCCCCTGGCTCGTTTACTGGTGGAACACTCGGAAACTGTTCCCTGCAACTAGTGTTTTAGCCGGCAGGTCAGATGCTTTGTCGAGCCAGGCGTCGCAACAAATTACACAAGGAGTGTTTGAGTCCCTTCATCATGATCTTATAGTTTTACACGGTGCATGGGAATTCGATCCTCTCGATCTAGCAAATCCATTTCCGAACAATGAGGGCTCTGTACACCTTTGGCATGGGGATCGGGATAAGATTGTGCCTATTATAATAAACCGCTACATCGCCGAGCAGCGACCCTGGATTCGCTATCATGAAATTCCGGGTGCAGGCCATTTCTTTCCTCTAGGTGATGGGATGTCCTATGCTATCATAAAGGCACTTTTAATTGGAGAAAAATAGTGAGTAATGCACTCTATCTTAGGTTCTTTATCTGTTCATCTCATGCCTAATTTAATCACAAATTTGCGTCACATGGAGATTTTTTTTCTTTGTCCTAATATTTGAATATTATTTTATGATTTGTTTTAATTTTTTTTATTAATTGAGATAAACACATGACAGTATATGTTCTAAGATCATTTACATTCTTTTTCTTTTGATATTGAACGCTCACACTCTTACATTTATGGTGTTCGAATTCGGGTCTTCAAGGAATAACAAGAATTCCTTGACTACAGAGGATGTTGGTTTTTGTCGATTTACTGGAAAATATTTCAATTTTCTTCGTTATGGTTGAATGATTGCTTCTTCTTTAATGTATGAAATATAGTTCAATTTTTTATATGTAAATATAAAAAATTACAAAAACTTTCTAAAAAAATACAGAAACAAGCGTGCATTTGATTTTTTTTTTTGTCACCGTAGAATCTTTTACCATTTGTTCCATTCGGACGTTGGATTAAGGTTATTAATTAAGTACACAAATGATTTCTCAATTTTACAAAATGATCCTCAAACTATAAAATGTTACTTTATAAACTCCTCGACTATTAAAAGTTATAAAATGATAACTCGACTATTAATTATGTTTCAAACTCATGCTCTTTCGTAAAAAATTGACTGTTGTCTAAGTTAAACATTAACATGATGACCAAAATATGATATTCGTTTGAGATTATAAGATCAGATTTTATTATATAACAATCAACATAATATCATTTTTTTAATAAAAATGACAAGTTTATAACATATTGAATAGTCGGATGACCATTTTAGAAATTTCAATAGTTGAATGACTCAATAAAGCAACATTATATAGTCGGAGAACCATTTTATAACTTTTAATAGTCGAGGGACTTAATAAAATAATACCCTATAATTTGAGAACCATTTGTGTACTTTATCCAATTTTTTATTTAGCAACAAGGAACTCGTCGGAAAATTTATAAATCGAGACCCAAATGCATTTAAACTCGTTCGCCGTATTTACACTCGCCAGGTGCAGTCAAGATCTTCTCCAGTTAATGTCATATCTGTAGGGGGAGGGGCTACCTTATCTCCTCATGGTTGAACCTCACGAACGTGATGCTCGGCTAATGAGGCGTTCGTAATTCGGAGGAAGCCTAAACATCAATAGCCTCAACGAAGTGGCTTGCATTAGAACATCTTCGGAGTTGTTACGGATCAAGCACTGCTATCAAACTCGATATAAATCCAACCTCAAAAAGCTTTTAACTGCGAAAATCAATGGCGGATTAAGTCGCTATCTCAAACTTGAAGTCTCAACTCGTTTTATGGGACTTTTTATCGTCTTGCTTAGGTTCCAATGGCTGTTTAGATATCGTTGTCGGAATTACAGTTGTAGAGCGGATATGAGCTTGGCGATGTGCAACAGAAAGACTCTTTATGATGCACTCCAAAGTGGGAAAACTACAGACCTGAAGACGATCATTTCAGTTTTGAGCCAAAGGAACAATGGCCAAGCAAGAGCCATACTAATTCCTACCAGCAATTATATGGCCGTGAGTTCAGTTGGGTCCGTCAAGAGAAGCGAAGCAAATGTGGGCAATTCGGGAAGGAACTTCAGGTTTGATCTGGTACATACAACACCCGGAGAATTTTTTTGCAAAACAACCGAGGATGAAAAATGTGGATGGTCGAGAGAGTCTAATTCGATCAGTGATTACCAGGTCGGGAATCGACATCAAAGGGATCAACAAAGCTTTTGCAACCAAAACAGGCTGCTCTTTGGAATACCTTGTGCTACGGGAACTCAAAAGCAACAAGGACAAGAACAACAACATTGTTGTCGGTTTCTTGGTCGGGTTGATCAAAGGTTGCTGAAGACACTATTTAGTGGAATATATATGTTTCAGGATCATGGCAGATTCGGTGCAGCTCTTTCTCGTTTTTTTTAACTAAGATCCGGGGTCAGTAGTTGAAGGGAAGGTTTTTGCATTAAGCATCAACCAAGACCCCGTCTGATCATATCTACAAGCTTACCCTTTAAATAACATGCGAAAGTGAAATGACCGGTTCACTTCCATGGAGCAATGAGAATGCCTAACATAGGCTGAATATGATAATAATCAGGGGAAATTTGTCCAGTAAGTGATTTTACTCGTGTCACGAAGATTAATGTTCCACATGTGAAAAAAAGTTGGACCGATAGACATTTCAGTTCTCACAATTCTTGACTGCATTAATGTTGTAATTTATCAAACTTAACTAATATCGGAACATCTTCACAGAGTTTATTCATGGGAACAATTGAAAACTATTGATTACCTGGCCAGGTATCAGAATAACGATCAATAGTCCTGACATGATCAGAAGATTGAAGAAAGTTTCTCACTCGTTGGCAGTTCCATCCTCCAGTTGAGCACTCCCTCCATCTACATGATGGCATGATGAATGGAATTGATTAAAGGGCCGTTTTGCCGCAGAAAAAGAAAATGCAGATGCAAAAAGAACATTCATCGATACAAGTTTGCCATGTCAAGTTCAGTAACTAGGCATACCTTCACCTTCAGATGGGGCACAAGGGGATTTCCTATATCGTGTTTGTTGTTGTGTGGGCTGAACAAAAAAATGCAGAAAAGTAAGTAATCATAAGCATCATAGCATTACTAAATAAATTTGCACAAAGTGATCAACTCACAGAACACAAAATTAGGATGTAAGAACAGTAAGATTCATCATTATGACCCTTGAATCTATTGTAGACCATATGATATGCTGCTAATTATTAGCTTTATCAAAATCAGAAATACCTCAGCGGACTTCAAAATACACACAAGAAAAATAGTGTACACGAAATAAAGGTAAACTACATTTGAACAGATCGCCCTCAAACCATTTTTTTCTCTTTCTCAAAGGTAAAATGTTTGAAATAACAAACATGAACTGCATAAAATCCTTATCACAAATGATTCTTGATAAATTCATGTATCAGAAGTTCAGAACCATCAATTTGCTCTTCAAAATAATTATAGAAACAACCACTGGCATCATGTCAATATACTACACAAATAACGTGTGCTATAATTCAGATCTTGGTAGTAACAAGATTCTTTTACATCATCTTCCCTTTTCCAACATAAATATAAAGCAAGAAAATCCAAAAACCCCAATCAACATTCTGCATGGATTTGGTCTTCCAACTCATGTTACTAAAAGGTCAAGAAACAATTGTTTAAACTATTTAATCCAGTAGCTGAAGACCTTAAGAGAATCTAACTATTGCAATCCCTTTTGCTCCTCTAGAGATGCAAAAGTTCTAGCCAAGCCGGTTTACTATTTTGAACCATAAAGAGGTCTATTTGTGACCCAATTAAAGAGTCTTAATCAAGTATATCAGAGTGAGGCACCCTAGAAAATTGGATCAGATCGATTTAAGCTTTCTTTAAACAGTTCTATCCTGAAGCATTAGCAAGGGACTACCTACTCCGTTGCTCTTACTAATCATTGCAATTAACAATAATTCTTAAAATACACATCCACATTAAAAGTTCTCCAATATTCATCAAATCTGGACCAAAATATGCAGTGCAAGGAAGTCAAATCCTATAATACAAGAAGAGAATATTAAATCAAATGATTTTACAAGCATTAAATTAATACCTGCAATTTGGGACGGAGGGCTTCAAGTGGTCCTTTCGGCTTATTAACACCTTGCTGTTGGTATCCAAAATACAAGAAGATATCGGAAACTTCAGCTTAATCAGGATTCATTAGCAATTTGACATTGCCAAGCTACGATAACCAAAAATAAATGTTGATTGGGATTTGGAGACTCTTTAAAGTACCTTTCCTAGTGCCCAGTCAGCAGAGTCAAAGTAAGCACGTTCATGGTCCTGGCATAAACTTCAACGAGAATCAGCACAAACCCGTAACCGAACACTTTACACTTACAATTCCGCACAGAAATTACCTTAGAAATGAGTGGTGGTTTCTTGGGCTTAATTCCACCATATTTTTTCTTTATAGCTTCCTCCTAAATATAGACATAAAAGAATAAATAAATCAATGATAAGGCAATTAGATAATCATAGATAACTAAGATGGTTAACAATCAACATTATACAATGATGCAAGATAAGAGCACACCTCCTCTTGAGATGACGGCATGGATTTTTCGAACTCCTGTCCTTCTACTTGTCCTTGCTCCTTGTCAATCTCCATACCTGAGATTAGCTCCTTGCACCCACCCAACTAATAGCAGCTATGTGTAGCACACAAATGGTTGGCACAAAACTTCAGAAATGCTAAAACTTCGACAGATCATAGAAACCCCAAAAAGAAACTTCACTTATTTCCCAGCCAAAAAAAAAAGGTGGCAATGTAGAATAAAAATATAATATCCAAGTAAATCAGAGGTAAAACATCAACCAAAAGGCCATGAAACAAGTATTTACAGCTCTCAATGAATGGATACTGTACTCTATACATAATCGAAAAAGCACCTGGCAACTATTAGTTAAAGCATTTGATGACAATTAAGATAGTTAACTAAACATTCATATTCAAAAAATGAAAAACAGAAAATAAAGGAAAGAAAACTTGAGTGACAACCATATTCATTCAATAAATTACAACTTTCCAGGCAGTATTCCTAAATATTTTTTTATTGATGCATGGTGTTATACATCAAAACCAATTTCCCGCAGTAGAAAAGAATTAATTAAACCATCAAACTTAATTAATCTGAATTAAAGAAATCAGATACGTGGGCTAGAAAATCGAATTAAATACATATGCACCTAACTTTTAAAGTTTATAATACATACAGATGAAAAACCACAGCGAAAACATTAAATCAAGATCTATAAATATACAATAAAAACTAGCAGTTAAATAGAATTGATTAGACAGAAAAGGAACGAGATCCTTACTTAAGCTAGAAAATGGAATTAATAACTTATGAAGATCCACACCTAACTGGCAGTCAAATCAAAATTACATAAAATAATAGAAAACAAAACAGTAGATGCTAGTATATGTATATGTAATGTTCTACAAAATAATAAGTAAACGAGAATAAATTGGCCTTAAATTTGAAGGTCAGAGGAAAGAAAACATGAAATTAGAGAGATCGGGCACCTGAATTGCCAAGCACTCTGCGGAGATCGTAAATTCAAAGGGAAGGTTTCTCTAATGGCGTTGGATAGATATATATATATATATATATATATAATGCCTCTTCGCGTTGTTGAAAATTTTCGGTGGAATTGTTTTGTATCCAGGAAATTGCCATAAGGGCATGCGTATTTTAGATTCTTCTATTTTGGCCACCATTATTTTTTCAACTTTTTTGGTCACCATTCTTTTCAACTTATTTTTTAATTTTTTTTAATTTAAAATCTTTCTTAATCATTGAAATTATACACCATATAGATGTAACTATTCGAACCCGAATTTCACAAAGAGATCAATATTCTTTCTTACCACTGAAGTCATTTAATGAATTCTTAATTAATCATGTTTAAATGATCTTTCTATCATTAAAAATTTAAAAGTTATAAAATAATCATCACAACGTTATAACAATAATAAAGTTCCATAATTCTAAAACCTCAATTCAATAATTTTCAATGACCACTTTGTACAATTTAATAAATTTTAATGATCATTTTATAACAATATAATAAATTTAATAATCATTCCATTCAATAACAATCTGATAAAATTTCTAATTATTTGCAACTTTTAAAAGTGAACATACAGTTAAAACTCTATAAATTAATAATGTCAGGACCGGAGAAATTTATTAATTTAGAGAGTTATTAATTTATCGATAAATTAATAATTATTAATTTAAAGAGTTTTTAAATAATTATACTGTACATACCAAACAAAAAGACAAATTAGTCTATACTTTTTAGAATTACGTTACAAGAGATGAGTTTAATTAATAATGAACTCCAAATAGACTTGAACTTTAAAGGAAAACAGACAACTATTGAATCATATTTCAATATAGTGTAATATATTTTTTTCAGTTTCTATGAATTATTAATTTATGATTTTCTTGGGACCGAAAATTATAAAGGATCTCACGAAAAATTATTATCTTATTATTTTATCGAATTTTTCAATTTTTTACATTGGCCCAAGTCAGTACCGGACAAATTTATTATTTTAGAGAATTTATTAATTTACCGAATATTAATTTAAAGAGTTTCTACTGTAGTTTAGTGAACTATAATAAACTTTAATATTTAATATAAAATATAATATTGATTTATATAACATAATTAGAAAGATTTATTTCATAAACACGATATAAATACACAAAATTATAGTAATTTATTTTTTTAAAATATAAAAATCAGTATTTATAAAATCAAAATATTTTTCTAGGGAGTACACAAAAAATAAGCCATCTCACATTCACAAACGTCGATTTAAACACTTAAACATTAACACCATTTTCATAACGAATGATATCACTACAATAGGACTAGGAACGAATGAATATAGAGCTGTTCTAGGTAAGAATGATAGATATATGACTTCGATTGAAGATAAAAAAAAAATTAACCAAACATCCGATCGGGGACAGCATATCGTATGCATTTCGACACCGCATTTGTTAAAACTGACACGACCCTGCAGGAAGGGCAGTAACGGCCCGCTACAAGCAGGCAAGGCAGAAGGCCATACGACTGCTAAAATCGTTTTCAACATGATCAACAAGGAAGCAACAGTCTGCTACAGATTATTAGTTGGTACTCGGTGGTTATCGGCGAGCCACCACTCCACAGCTACAGTCACGGTCAACTGTGCTACAACTCAAAACATTTTTAATAGAATACAACAATCAAACAGTTAAATAGATACCAGCCTTCATGTTCATTTAATGCAGCTATAAGGCTTCGACCAGACCAGACCAGACCAGACCGTATCAGGTCTCATGCAAGAGAGCTCAATTAACAAAGCAACCAACAGGTCAAAAAATCTAGGGTGCCTTACTACCATCACAGCAACTAAGCCCCAAAGCCAATATTTAGAAATCAGAATACCCAAGGATTAATCAGATGCAAACATCAGACACCAGAAAGATAGAATGTGTTGTGGAAACCGAGACATGATTAACTGCTCTTACCAATCACCACATCTTTCAGTTAAAAACAGTTAACAAACAGTCCCTGCAATCAGCATACTGCAATAACCCAGCATCACAATCACGGTCATTCATCAATAGATAAAAACAGCACCAACAGCAACATCATGGTCATTTGCCCAACTCACTCTTTCCCCGAACATTGCTATAAAAGCCAACAGACGGTTTGAGATGAATCAGCATTTTTAGAAAATAATAATAATCAAGAATTTAAAAACATGTATTAGGGAGCAAACTATGATAAGACTCGCATCACAGAATCTTTAATGGGGTACCCAAACATCAAGCTACTAACTACAAAAGTCAGACACCATGACACAGCTTATGTAATGGAGACAGAAGGTTCAGGACAATCGATTAAAACACAAACAAGTCCTACCAATACAACAAAACAAATGATATTTGAATGTCCTCAACATTAACAAAATAGCAACCGGCAACATGCTGCGTCAAATCTCAGGGAATTCCAATGGCATCAGCAAGATAATTCCTACAAAATACAAAAGCAGGGATGTCAGCATAACTGGTTGAATAAACAATTTACAAAAAAAGAAATTGAAGATAAAAAAAGTAGGGTGAAAGTAAACAAAATGGGGAAAATCTTACATCAATCTCCAAGTCTCAAGAAGATGGGCTCCGTGAATCAGCAGCAGGTCGGCCTCGCGGGGAAACACTTTGAGGACTTGGAGACTGTCCACCGCGGCTCTGTCTAACAGGACTTTCACCCCTAGGTGAAACATTTCGAGGACTTCGAGACCTTCCACTGCGGCTCCGTCTATCGGGACTTTCACCCCTAGGTGGAGATGCCCTACGTGGGGAAGGACTCTTTCGAGGACTAGGACTACGGCGAGCAGGAGATGCACTGAATTACAAAAACATCACAATGAGTTAACTAAAGAAAATGGGGAGATAAAAGAATTGAACGTCATGAATTGCAAAGTACAAACCTCCTTGATCGACTGCTACTTCGCCGATCATCATCATAACGACGCCTTCCTCTCCCTTTAGAATGGATAGGACTATCACTACGGCTCCTACTTCGGCGACGAGAGTCTCTGTCTTTCCCACGATATCGATCATGCTCAGATCTGTCATAGCTTCTACTACGACTTCTATAATCCGCATCTTTGTAATGGTCATCCCGGTGCCTGAATATATTAAACACAACAAACATTACATATCCAGGAGATCATAAAGAATAAAACCAATCCATATAGATTTTGTTATTCAAGTAAACTTAAAAGACATTATACATCCAACCAACCAAGCACTGGACTTCCCTCCGGGAAATCAAATCTGATAAAGAATCAAATATAGAATTGTAAAGATATAAATGGGAAATAAACCACAATTAGTGCATTAGGATACTCAACACAGGAACATGCAGATAAATAAGTAAATCAATTTATCCATGTAGCACTGTCACCTTCATGCTACTGCTAATCTAGAGTGCTTCATTTGGTAAGGAAAAATCTGTGATAAACCCCCATGGTTACCCCTTCATTTATATCTATAGTAACTCATCAGAAAAGTAGTCACAAGCCAAAGAAATGCTATCAATCATAGAAAATGAGACACTGACAAAAAGCTTTCAAAGAAAAAGAATGCACAGAATAACTTACCTTCTGCGAGGACTGCGGCTTCTTGACTTTGGAAATGATTCAATAATCCTTCCTTTCTGACTGCAATGGAAATCACCAAAGTACATGAAACTCGCTACACTGTGTAGGCCTTAAGACAAATATTAGGAATAAAAAATACTAAAAGGATAAGGAAATATACGTTAAAAAAATAAACAGCACAGATGTAGCCTCAAATGTTAAGTGAGCATGCCAAACAAGCTTTTTAAGCTTCCATAGTAGATACTAATGAGTTAACTACCTATACCAATTACTTAAGCAAGTGGACATTATCCCTGTGAAAACCAAACAGGGTGTTTTCCTTCATGATATACCTTCTTAAAACAAGAGTCAAATTTACATTTTCATCAAATGATTTCTTACTGCATACATCAGCACATTCGGCTTCCAATATGATCCAGTCAAATATATATAAATGAATAACAACTAGCATACTACTTACATCCTCTCTGCATTAGGCCCATATTTTGCAAACTGAACAGTTATCTCCCGACCATCGACGACTCTCCCTAAATGAATAATGAAATGTCACAACATATTGAATCAGTTACCTACATTTAATACATATAAAAGCTCCAAAATATATGAAAAAAGGAGAGTGAACGTGTTCAAGAAATGAACCATCGAGCCTATCTACAGCTTTCTGAGCCTCATCCGCATACTTGTAGCGCACAAATGCAAAACCTCGAGAATCACCAGTCCTACCGTCAAGCAAACAAAAGTTATCTTTAAAAATTCCCAAAAATCGAGAAAGAGATGAAAAGAGAGAATGAACCTTCGATCTTTCGGAATGAAGATGTCGACGACCTTCCCGTACTTGTCGAACAGCGGAAACAAATCATCAGCAGTCGTGCCTACACAAATTAAAACCCAAACCAAATCGAAGGATTCAATCACAGTATAAACAAACTCGTAGACACAGAGAAATTGTTAAAAAAAAAAAAAAACCGGGCGAGAGACGAAGAGAAATAAGCTTACGGAAGGTGATGTTGAGGACGAGAAGAGAGTACGTGTCGGTGATGTCGGGAGGGCCTGACCTTCCGAAGTGAGACATTGTCCCGATTGAGAGGACTAGAGGGGATGAGCGGGGAGAAAATAATGTTTAGGGTTAGGGTTTGTTTGTGGAAGTTAAAATCAAAAGATTTTTCTTTTTGGGTAAATTACACTTTATTACCTACACTATTAGTTTCAGTCCGTTTTAGCATCTAAACGTTCTTATTTAAAACAATACCTAAAATTTTGTTTTTGTTTCATCTTAGTGTATGGTCATTTAAAATTTTAGTTTTATTTTAGTACTTCATTTAAAATTTAACGTTAAGTTTTGAATAAATTAAAAGTTTAACTGTTAAAATGGACCAAAACTAATAGTTTATGTATTAAACATGATAAATTTCTAACGACATGATACTAAAATAAAATAAAAATTAAAGTTTAGATATGATTTTGAAAAAATTAAAAGTTTATATATAAAAATAGACTAAAACTAATAGTTTAGATATTAAATGCGTATATTAACCTTTTTTCTTTTTAGTAATGAAAATCAGGAACATTAAAAGACGTTGCGGAATTTGGCCTATTTACCTAAATATCACCCCACAAATAATTAATTCTTAATTTGATACTATTTTCGTATCAACATTCTTTTTTTGCCACACTAAACACATATTTCAAAGTCGTGTCTTTGTCTACAAAAAGGTATAGCTACAAGGGTTTGTAAAATGGTTAGGTCCAAATAAAAGATACATAAAAATATATGTGAATTTTATCTAAAATAAAAATATATGTATAATATGTGTCAATAACATAAATATGAGTCGAATTGAGCAACAACAACACGCATATTCAATTATTTAATAAATATATATTTAAAATGTTTTATTTAAATCTTTGAAAAACTAATATAGATTTAAGAATAACATAACCGAAGTTATTTGATATTTTACTTGTTAAAGATACTTCATAAGCTTTATCAAATCCACATTAGCACAACAGTTAAAGGAAATTTTGGATACTCAAAATTTCATGACCGTTGTTGTCTTTTGAAATGCTCGAAATTAAGTATGCAAAACTTCCTATTATTATTGATTTGATCAATTAAGATACGTATTTAACAATTCAAAATCAACAATTTCACTAATGAGATCATTAAATCTCACATTTAAAAAAATTAGAACCGAATTTAATTTAAAAGAAAAATCGACATGATCGGGTCGGGTCGGATTAAAACCCGTTAAGTTCGGGTCTCATATCCATCCCTATTCATATAAACATACGTTTTTATATATGTCGTGGACACCCTTTTTTTTTGGATAAAATTAATATTTATTTAAATTTTTTTTAGTTTTGGTCAAACTTATGAAAGCTTTAATTAATTTATTGTCACGTAAATAAAGTTCATTCCTATTAAAAAATATTTATATCTAACACGCTTTGCTTTAAATATACCATTTCAGAAATTAACCATGAATAAGCTTTATTTAAATATAATTAACCTTATTATTAACTATTTTAAATATTATTATTTTATAATTTATTTGAAGGAATGAGTCAAAATTGGTTGTTAACAATTTAAATATAATAAATTAATAAAAATGAACAACTCAAATTTTGTATTTATCAATATTTGCACTAATTTGTAACCTTAATAAAGTATTAAATCAGATTTTGATAAACTAAAATAAAAGAATTTATTTTCAATTTTTATAAGAAAATTAAAATGTTTAATATAAAAATAATTACCTAAATTATATTAAAATTTGATTTTTATTGTCTAAAAATTATTCGTTAAAAATAGGTGTCTAATGTTTTTTCCGTTACACTTTAGGCGTCTTCCGTTAAAAAAAATCGTTAAGTGACACGTGTTATGTTTAGATTTAAAAATAATAATATTTAATTTAAAAAATAAAAAAGAAACATAACACATATCACTCAATGAATTTTTTTAAATGTAGAGACCTAAAGGTGTAAATGAAAAAAACATTAGACTCCTATTTTTAATAAAAAAAAAGTTTAGATACAAAAAAATAATTTGAGATATAATTTATACCCTTACTTTTGTATTAAGCCAAATTAAAATTAAACATATTTATGTTTAACCTGCAAAATTCGTGAATTGAAAAAATTACAAAAGAAACTGAAGGGAAAGTTTAAAACGTTTATATATTGCCTTTTATTAATCCTTGGCATTCATATCTACACGGTGGACAATTCATAATTCTGATTGCCGAAGGTCTTCCACAGAAACTATTCTCAACATGGCGTTAGAAACAACCTACTACCTTACGTCACCCCATTATATATGGGAATAGGATTAGCTAATATTCATATCCAAATTATAATACTCATTTTAAATTAATCCTTAAACTTTTAAATATTTTAATTTCATCTTCAAATTAGGATTCTCATTCTAAATTAGTCCTTAACTTTTGAACACTCTAATTTCATCCCTAAACAATTACCCTCTTTCTAAATTGAACCCCAAAGTTTTAAATATTTTAATTTCATTAACAAATTAATCCAAATATTTAATTAATTTCAACCATATTTTAACATAAATTTTGGTTTTTATCAAATATATAATAATATAACCTAGCCTAACGATTTAATTAACAAGAGATAGAATTAGTATATATGTATAATTTGAAATTGAAATATTTAAAAAGTCTAGGGACCAATTTAGAATGAGGGTCATAGTTTTGGAATGAAATTGAAGTGTTCAATAGTTTGAAGACAAATTTAAAATGACACTCATGGTTTATGAATGAAATTAAAACATGTAGTAGTTTAGGGACCAATTAATCAGAATCATACTTTAAATTTAAAAAAACTTTAAATGTATGGAACATATTATAACCTTTTTTATGATAAAAGTAATGAGAACATGAGATAATTTTGTCCGAAAATAAGAAAAAAGATCAGAATTATAAACCAGAGAAAGTAATTCAATGACCAAAATAAAAAATAGTAATAATTGGGTGATCAATGGTGTAGTTTACCCTAAAATGTCAGTCCATAAACTGTTTAAACTCAATAGCCATGCCTTCAGCTATAATTGTCATACAATTCATCCATTTTGTGGATTATTGATTCATCTTTATAGTAATCGTGGTCCCATCGATATACAAGAAGAAAAATATGCAACACAAGCACTAGTATCTGAAAGAATCTCCACAGACCTTAATGATAACCAAGAGGAGCAGGCGCTTCTCTCAGCTCCTTACCCTGAAAATGTATATCCTGCAATACAAGATCCAAACCCCATTAATTCATCCAAATCATGGCAGCAGGAACAAGAATACACAATCATCATGTAGTGGTTAGAAGCGGACTCAAACCATACCTGACCCTAACTAGATTATATGAAAATTTAAAAATATTGCTTGGTCTCGATAGTAGTGATAGAGGAAAGTAATACTTACAGAAGCAAAATGGTTTACGTCCCTATGATGAGCTTCATCGGCACGGATCACAGTGATAACATCCTTCAGCGTAGCATCTTTAGGCAATCTCCAGTAATCTATTGCAATGGAAGGGGCCGGAACGTTTTCGATTCTACCACTTTCAATGTCCTTCAAATACTCTGTGTATGAGTGAATGGCTTCCTCCTCCAGATACCCAACAATTCTATGTGCTAATTTGGGAGAAAGCAAATAAAGTACAAAGAAGGCATTGAAGAAGACTCCCTGTACAGTAAGAACGAGGAGCCTCTCGTACCACTTGGGTTGCACAAGCTCTATCATCGTCATTAAATGCATCCTCTCGTTCTCGGCTTCTTCCAGCAAGGCTTTGATCCAACCTCCACTCTGCTGGAACTTGCGGAGAGATTTCAGATGCAGAAGCATCCCTCCGACCATGCCGGGAACAGCCGCCACTGTTTCCAGCATCACAGCTCGACAGCCGTACCGTCTCTGGCATTTCAAAGGAGCTTGACTTAAGTATATCGAGACAAACATGAATCTTAAGCAGATTAATGTGAAGGTAGCTAAGAAGGAAAACCTGAAAGAATATATCTGTGGGAATGCGGAGGATCTTGACTGTCCTGTAAGCAAATTTATCCATGAAGTTCTTTGGCTTATGGTGCTTTTTCAAATCGATTGACAAGTCTGATCTGTAAGTTTCCCATGGCTACATAAAAAAGTACAATCAAACAAACAAGACAGATAATTAAATCAAAACTAAGGAATAATGGAAATCTCTCAAATCTCTAAAAACCTTTCTGCAACGTGAAAATGTTTCTCTAAAGCTGAATTACTATTTGATTAAAATAATTTATTCATTTCAGATCTTTAAATCATCTGCGAAAAGAAAAATAATAACTAGAAAAATAACAGAGAAATCGTTGTTGAATTTGTTTTTAGACGGCATCATTAACAAAACCTTAGATTTTTATCAACAGAATAGGAAGTTAAGAGATGAGATTCAGGCAGAAACGGAAATTGGAAAGTCAAACAGCGGAATTGATCCAAGAAAAGGGGAAGAAATGCAAAATGACTAAAAGAAAACGAGCATCGAAGTTTAAAACTAAAGAAAAATAATGTACTGTACCATGAAACAATTCCAAGGCCAATCGGTGCCATCCTCTCTGGTGACCTTCGGCCTTGAAATCCCCCAATAACTCGACGTCACCACCTCCTTCCCTTTCGTCTCTTCCGCCGCCGATTTCTCGGTTTTCTCCTCCCTTTCGGACGTCGCTTTTTCCACAGAAGCAGGAGCAGAGCTCATCATCCTTCTCCATTCAAATCCACCAAACGTAACACCGTTATGTTGTCCGCTCAATTGCAAGCTCCTCCCAACTATGGCGGACCTGTACGCATGTCCACCGCTTATGCTGCCGCCACTGCAGTAGCTTCGGCCATTGATTAGGCCCCGCATCACCGACTTCACCACAAAACGATTCATCTTCTTCTTCCTCCTCGTTGTGAATTTGTTGAAATGCAATGGAATGGTGCAGGGATGGCGATTATATATAATTGGAGGGTAGAAGAAAGAGAATGATCAAGAAGGAATGGAGAAGAGGGGAAACAGTTCATGATTCGGTGTTTCGCGGTGTATCTTAATCGATTTACTCGTGTCTTGATCTGCCGTTACTTGGGGGGCAAGAAATTTTATGATGGGCTGAGATTTAGCAATGGCGAAAACATGTTGTGTCTTTTTGTACTACCACATAGTTTACCCGCGAATATCGCTGGAGTGTGGCGGAAACATTCGATGATCAAAATTCTCTACGGGTGAGAACATTGTTAGTGTATCTGTCAAAGATATTTTTGTTCACTGTCAACGGTTGTGATAGAAAGCCTCCAAATCAAGAGGACGCTATTTAACCAAAAGTATATATGTTTATTTATGTATCATGTACTTCATAGCGGCTCACATTTTGTTATAACCCTTGATTTTCCCTAAGATTTACGTCCCTGCCACTGGGATTTTCCTATCTTATGGGAATTCTTTTTAATAGCAATTAATATCACAAGAAAACAACTTGTGTTGTTGACGTCGAGGATCAGTGTTTAACTTACACGCGTCACCTCTGTGGGCAGATATCTGAAAGTAACGATCGTCCCGGACGTGGCTTCTAATTTGCTCCAGTAAAATAATGGCATTTTTACCAAAAAAAAAAAAAAATCACTCAAACAATCAATAATTATCTGTTAGACATCATTTCTTCAAATATTATTGATTTAGTATTTATTCTGACATAATAATAAAAAAACATGTTTTAGGATATGCGACTTGCAGACATGGACGGAAAACGCGGATCATGAACCGTGCCTTCGTGAAGTTCTATCTAAGCTAGCATCATGGTGGAAAATCACGGATTGTAATCCTAGAGACTGATTTGTGTTCTGAGCAGTAAATTTAGAAAATTATCATAAATTATATATAAATAATTAGAGGACAATTTTTACATCGTTGGATTCATATGTCAGTATAGTTTCGTTTAAAACAAACGAATACTAATTTCTATAGGTATACAAAAAGATATGAATTTTTAATTGAGGATAGGTCAGAAAGTAAGACAACAGATTCTGTTCAAAACAACTTTTATATGTCAACTTCGAAAACTCACTATAAATTGTATAAGATAAACTAGAAAAAATGCCTTATATAGTTATATTCGTATTCGACTCTAGTTTCTAGTGATATAAACGGAATAATTTTTAAGTTTGTAGATTAATATAGAATAATATTTTATTACAAGTAGTGCATACTGTCAGCATATAAAATTTATCATAAATTATGTTTTCATGTTACTCCTATATTATAGTGTTATAGGTTATTATAAATGTTCGAAATAAGTCAACTTTATTACAATTAGTGTGATCATTATGATGTTTATTGCATGACGAATATAATGTTTATATGTTGAAGAAAGATAATTGACGATGATTATGATATATAAATGTTATGTGGAAATGAAATGTTTAGGGTATGAACTGCCCATTATGTTATGATATGAAGAGTTGGATATGTTGATATATTGATATCTTTGATAATTGAATAATATATAATAATTAATGGAAAAACTCATTGTATGTTGCATTGAGAGTAGTATGTACATTTGTCGTGACATTAAGCTGAGTACTTTCTAGATAAGTTATGTTACATTCGTGTACATTATGATATGTACGATTGGTTCTCATGTTATGATTGCACTTAAAGTGTATTATATGTTTTAGTTAAAATTGGTATCGCGAAGTGCCATGTGTGCACCTTATGTTATACTCATGTACCTTACATTCTCATAGATATGCATTGGACTATGAATTTGAAAATAAACTATGAAATTTAAAAATAAGTTATGAATCTGAAAATAAGCTACGAATCTAAAAATAAGTTTTGATTTAGAAAATAAATTGTGAAATCTGAAATTATTTATTATGAACATGGAGTATGAAAATGAATATGTGAATGAATATGAAGTAGAAAATGAGAATATAATAAGAAAGTTCTGAAAAGTATTTGAATGAAATAGAGTATGACATGATTGTTATGTTTATTATTGATTTTCATGGTTTTGACAAAATCACAATATGATAATTTTCAGATATCTGATAAGGAAATATGGCTTGAATAAATCGATTTGGATATTTAATAATTTTATTTGAATTTAAGTTTAATGTTTTGAATTGTTATGATATTTTAAGTTAAGTTTTATATAAAGAAAAATAATGTTATAATGTTGTTAAGTTGTTTAATATTTTATGTCACCTTAGTTTGTTTATAATGTCTCACTAAATGAATACTTAGCGTGTGATAATTTTAACGCGTAGGTAAAGAATGACAAGTGAAGTAAGGAGTCGAGTTGGCATCAATCAACAAATAACAATTACATGTATCATTAATGACATCCTACTATTTTTATTTTTTTAGATGATATGTATACGAATAAGAAATGTCTAAGATATATTATTAGAGTTATAAATATGAATCGAAGTTTTACATTTTAGATAAAAAATTATATTTTACGAGAACAAAAAAATATTTTAAAATTAGACAGTTTTTTAAATAGTATTATTTACTATTGAACTACTAAACTTCTGCCTAAAATTAAGTTTAATTTATATGGTAATTATTATTTTATGATTTTACACGATTAATGGAATAATTGTAAAGTTAATAATGGAATGTTTTACAATAGAACAAAATTTTAAGTATTTATAATCAATGAATATTTATAAAATACTTAAAGTGACATATTTAACTCGTATTTTGATGCGTATTACACTATGTGTTTGATTGTTTGCAAGATTTATTGCATTGTAGCATACGGTCTCTATCCACTGCTCTTTACCAATAACTTTAGATAAGAAATGAATGAAGAAAATTATTTGGTACATCCTTAATCAGCACAGAGCAGGACTCAGGTTTACAGTTGACTAGTTACTTTGTGCCCATCAATTCATTAATTAGAATCAATTCCTAAATAAGCCTTTGGTTATAGCATGTTATTTTATCAAGTCTTTTGACTATTAAAAAATATAAAATAGTCATTTGATTATTGATTATGTTTTAAATTCATCATTTTTCGTTAAAAATTTGATAGTTGTCTAAGTTGGATGTAAACATGATGACATCGATATGATAATCGTTTGAGATTCTAAGATCAAATTTTATCACATTACAGCTAACATGTTAACGTTCAACTTAGAATATTGTCAATATTTTAACACAAAAACACGAATTTGGAACATAATAAATGTAGAGCGACTATTTTATAACTTTTAAAAATTAGAACATACTAAAACATTAATATATATATTTAGATAATCATTTTATAATTTTTAATAGTTATAATTAAAGAACATTTATGTACTTTAACCCTTATTTATTTGGGTTGAAAAACCAATTTGAAACTAAAAAAATGACTGTTTAGCATTAGTTTTAGCATTCAAGTATTTATATTCTACATATCCAAATGCAGTAGTATCATCTTGTTGTTTGCCACTTGAAGATTAAACAAATGAGCTGACTTCAAAGTGAATTCCACTTCGAGAGGTTGGTGACTGATCCAAGGATTCCAAATAACCAGTTTGTGAACCACTAATTTAATGGAGATTGAGAAAGATAAAGAAAAGAAAAGTATTACCTTTCTTAATTCTTTGTACTCAGTAAACAAAGAAGATAAAACCAAACCAAAAGTCAATAAGGGCAAGCTCTTGCCTTTTCCTCATACACTTTGTTTACTTTCTTTCTCCCCTTGCCCCTCCAAAGACTTTCATTTCATTCTTGCTTCCTTTTCAAGGTATTGTCCTTATTCTTCTCTGTTGAAAACAGAGGAAATAGTCTGCGTGGTTTGTTTGCCTTTTCTTTTCTTCTTGGGGATTTGAGTGTTTTGATGGAATTCAGAGTTACCCATTTCATGATTTTGTATTGATTTTCTGTTTGTAGGGATTTTAGGGTTGTTGGTGGAGGGTTGTGCTGTGCCTGTTTTTGATGATCAAGAAAATTTCTTTCTTTGATTATGCAGGTTGAGGAATTCTGGGGAAAATTTTGATTTCTTTTGGATGTTGAGTGATAGCTGAAGAAGGTGAGAAATCTGGAGAGGGGTTGAATTTTATGGATAATCTGTGTTGCTTCAACTCTGTATATTCCCAGGTCAGCTTGTATTCAGTTCAGTCCCTTCAATTTAGATTTTTTTCATCATCTGTTTATATATGATTGGATTTGTTTGGTTGATGATTTTGATTAGGTTTTTGTGAGGACAATATCTAGTTTTAGTGGTACCTTTGATTTCATGCAAGATTCTGTGTTTCTTTCACTTTGAGTGCATAAGCAATCGCTAGCTTAGTATCAAACCTTTTCTGGGTTGTTATTACCTGCATTACCCGTCGTTTGTATTCCCTTTATTGTTTCTGTCGAAAGCATCGGAGAACATCGCTAGCCTTGAGCTTTTGTTGTGCAAATGCTGTTTCATTTACCAACACAGCAATGGCTTACCCTGAGAGAGTGCTCTTCCTGGTTTCGGTGGTTCATGGTTTTCGGGAATCAGTTTAAAGTTTTTTAGTTTTATTATCTTCGAAATCGTAGTCGATCTCATGAAAATAGGTTCTTTTGAAACTTTTCACCGATAGGGTTTGTTGGTACTAGGAAGATGATAACTTGGTTGCAGTTCTTTATTGCACATTTCCTCCTGTCGAATCATGTTTCCGGTTCCTTTTCTAACACATCAAGTATGAAATCTCGTTAAAGATACTATTTTTATCGTTTAGGTTGTTGGAGGACGTTCTTCATGTAGCTCTGGAAAGGGTAGAAGCCATCAGAGCCCTGTCAAGTATGGCTTCGCCCTAGCGAAAGGCAAAGCCAATCATCCCATGGAGGATTATCATGTTGCAAAGTTTGCTCAGCTTCGGGGACATGAACTCGGACTTTTTGCTATATATGATGGCCATTTGGGAGATAGTGTACCATCTTATCTGCAAAAGCATTTGTTTTCCAATATCTTGAACGATGTGAGTTATAGATTAATCCGATATTAATAATTCGTAAGGGCTTAGGGGCTTTTGGATACCACAGTCAAAGAGAATCGTTCCAACTTGCCTTATGCGATACCGGGGATAATAAACTGAGATGATGGTTCTGTGATTCTTATTATTATAGCACCGAATTCCGGGCTGTGTTAATTGGTTGTTAAATTATGTCCTTGTTCCATACAATAACTTGCAGGAAGAATTTTGGACCGATCCTGGCAGGTCCATCTCTAAAGCTTACGAGAAGACGGACCAAGCGATTCTCTCACACAATCCCGACTTGGGTCGAGGGGGATCCACGGCAGTCACTGCAATTTTGATAGATGGGCAGAAATTATGGGTTGCCAATATTGGAGATTCGCGTGCTGTTCTCTCCAAGAAAGGGCAGGCGATACAGATGAGTATTGATCATGAGCCGAACACAGAGCGTGGAAGCATCGAGAACAGAGGTGGCTTTGTCTCAAACATGCCAGGTTCTTTCACAACTCCCCTGTGCTTATGTCTGTTTTTCTCTTTAAGGAAAATTCGTTTCTAATATCGCTGAGCGAAACTAATCAGCTCTGTATCGGTATAGTTATTGCCTCCGAATGCAGATGAATCGGCACTAAAATTTTGTATGATAACGACTTACTGGTGCTGTTGTTGATTGAATATGGATCTTGTTGCGTTCTTTCACAGGGGATGTTGCAAGAGTGAACGGACAACTTGCTGTTTCTCGAGCTTTTGGAGACAAGAATCTTAAATCACACCTCCGATCCGATCCGGACATGAAAACTGCTGATGTTGACTCGGATACCGAACTTCTCATCCTTGCAAGTGATGGACTATGGATGGTGATCCACGTCTCTCTCTGTACGAACCAACAATTTATAATTTGTTGTTTATATGTTCTCATTTTTTGTCTGCAAATTTATCCAGGCCATGTCCAACCAAGAAGCCGTCGATATTGCGAAAAAGACCAAGGATCCGCTGCGAGCAGCCAAACAGCTAATGGCCGAGGCATTGAACCGAGACAGTAAAGATGATATCTCATGTATCGTAGTTCGTTTCAAGGGTTAAACGCGAAACCGGAAACGCAACGGAAGAACAGTTCCTCGATTGCTAAAACACGAATCAATGGGTAAACACCAACTAGCAGTCTCATTAGAAAATGCATATTGCTGAAAGTTGTAGATTTACATATCATCTCCATTTGGTGGAAAAGAATGTCAAGAAGGTAATAATCAACGGTTGGTAATCGTTAACATCAATGTGTTTTATGTTGATTTTTGCGTGAATTAATACATTAAAACCATTGCTTCGTCAAAGCCCCTATAGCTCAGTGGTAGAGCGTCAGTCTTGTAAACTGAAGGTCTGCAGTTCCATCCTGCATGGGGGCACAAGTAATATTTTTTTTAATTTTTTTTTTCTAGGGATGACAATAGGTCGAGTTAAGTGAGATTTTGGTTAACTTGATCCGAGATCTTCTCCACTAAAATCATTCTGAGTTTAGGAGTTTTATTCGATTCGAAATTTGATTAAATATTCTAGGATTAAATCCTTTTCGATATGACATAAATATAAAATATTTTTTATTCAATAAAGTATAGATCTAATTGGAAAAAATATAGAGATGAATATTATAATAATTATCTATAAATATATAGAAAAATTACATTATTATCTCAGGTCGAATAAAAGAATTTTCAGTCTAAATTCCGAAGCATTTATAAATTATAACCTGAATTCTTCTAAAAAAATGTTAATCCCATCGAATCAGGTCGGGTCAAATTGTCATCCGTATCCTTATTACATGTGATATCTTGTGAACAAATCACATAGCATTTCCTCAAACAGAAAATTGAGATTAATAACATGATAAATGAAATGAAAATTTAGGGGTAAAGTGAAAAAATATTTGGGTAAATTATGTTTTAGTACTTAAACTATCAGTTTTGATCTATTTTAGTATCTAAACTTTTAAAAAATTTAAAATCATACTTAACGTTTAGTTTTTGTTTCATTTTAGTACATCAGTTAAGAATTTAACGTTAAATTCTGGGAAAAAATTGAAAGTTTAGATACTAAAACATACCAAAACTGATATTTCAGGTACTAAACGTGTTAAGTTTTTAACGACTTGGTACTAAAATGAAAACTAATATAGATATGATTTTGAAAAATTGAAATTTAGGTATTAAAACGGATAAAAACTGATAGTTTAGATACTAAACGCGTAGTTTACCCAAAAAAATTTGGATGGAAAATGAGAATATGTGTATAATACAGGGGCCAAAACAGATATTAGACCTTAAAAATGTGAACACATAAAATAAACAACCGCGATACGGCACTCAAAATTTCCATACCTACAAAAGCAGAAAGGCCGGCGCGTCTTTTTTACGCGCTGCTTAACCACGAATGGGCTCGTCCACGCCTTTACGGTATCAAAATTTAATTTCTCCTTTGACAAACAAAACCCTTTGTTAAAACCCTCCCAAAACCCTTTCTTTCCATTTCCTTTTTCCTTCCCATTCGAATCCGATCATGTCTAAGACGCTGAGTCTAATAAAAACCAATGCTTGCAACCCCAAGGTGTGGATTGTGGCGGGAATAACGGTGGCCGGAATCATAGTCGTGGCGGAGACCCGTAGGAGGAGGAGAAAAGCGATGATCATCGACAGAGAGGATTTTCGCGCTTTCCTCGAACGCTTCGAGTTGACTCCTTTCCCGCATCCTCCACCTCCCGCCGCCAAACTTCCGTTATCGGGCCTCACGTTTGCCGTCGAGGATATGTTTGTAATTTCATTTCATCACTTTGTCTTTCTCCCTTGGTTATGTTTTCTCTCTTATTTTATCTATTTCTTATTGGTTGCTACAGATTTGACGTGAAGGGTTACGTGACGGGGTTTGGGAATCCTGATTGGAAGAGAACACACGAGCCTGCTGATCGGACGGCGGTTGTGATTACTGCTTTGTTGAAAAGCGGGGCTAAATGTGTTGGCAAGACAGTTATGGACGAACTGGCTTTCGGGTAACCTTTTATTTTGTTCTTGGTTTTTTTTTTCTAGGAAGATTGTATTTGTTAAAATGTATTCAGTGTTCCTTTTCCCCCTTATTTTTGTTAAATATTAATAGAACGACTGGGGAAAATAAGCATTATGGAACACCTACAAATCCGATCATGCCGTCACACCTTCCCGGAGGTTCTTCAAGTGGTTCTGCTGTGGCAGTTGCTGCTGAACTTGTGGACTTTGCTCTAGGTAATTTCAGTCCTTTACATTTCTAAGTAATCAATAAATGGTTCCCCAGTAGTGGTTCCTAGAACGAAGCCTGGAATTTCATAGCCTTTTCTTCTTCATTTCCATCCAAGGTGTGTGCTTTTAGTAGACTTGTTTTGCTGAATCTTCTTATTATAGAGGTTGTGTTCTTCTTAGTTCTATCTTTGCATATAATTCTATTTTGATGACTTTGTAGGTACTGACACAATTGGCTGCATGAGGATTCCATCCGCTTTTTGTGGTATTATTGGGTTCCGTCCATCTCATAGAGCGGTATCAACGATTGGAATTGTTCCCATTTCACAAAGTTTGGATGCTATTGGTACTGTAATACAGCATTCTTATTTAGATTGTTAAGATGTTTGTTGCCCTTCCGTACAGATCATAGCTGTTGATATTTTTAGCTAGTATGAGTTATTATGCCAACTCGCTTTGTCTTCACCTACTTTTTCTTTTAACTGAAGTGTGCGCATCTGAATGTGTGATCTATTAATGGGTTGATACCGCTTCATTAAAAAAGTGCAATGCACCTCTAGGTTTTGTGGCATACATGTTGCTCTTCTATTATAAGAGCTCCCAGTTCAAATATTTAGTGGCAATTTAAGATTCTAATTTCTTTCTTGGCATTAAAATTCTGGAGAATTCACATTGCCATATTCAAGATTTCCTTTGTTTCTTTTTACTGATTTTGTTATTTATCATGTCTAAGGATGTTTTGCTCGTGATGCATCTATTCTTCATCATGTTGGGCATGTTTTACTTCAACTAAAAGCAGTGGAACCTAGAAGGGGAAGGCAACTTGTCTTTGCTGATGACTTATTCCAGCTCTCAAAGGTTCCTAGGCAAAAGACTGTGCATGTTGTTAGCAAAGCAGTTGAAAAGCTTTCTGGATGTAAGTTGCATGACCTTCAATTTTATTCATACCAGTTGCCTAGTTTTTGGTGTGAAAATCCTGATCATAGTCTACTTGCTACCTCTCCTGTTTCAATGGTGTGAATCTTACTTCCTGACGTGTCTACCTCTTGTTAATTGTACAGACCAGCCTCCAAAGCATGTCAACTTTTCTCAGTTCATTGCTTCAAATGTACCTAGCCTGAAGGGTTTTCTTCAACATTCCACAAACCTACAAAATGAAATTTCTGCTTTGGTAGCTCTTTCTTCTGTGATGGTGTCATTACAAAGGTATTTGAGAATAACACGTCATTACATGCTGGAGCAGATACCTCTTCCCCCAGCTTCACTTGTTGCAATCCTTCAATTGGGATATTATAATAATCATTGTTGTGCGGAATATTTGTTTCTGGGTTTGTAGACAGACCAACACTCCTAATAGCTTGTAGTTTTACTTTTCAGGTATGAGTTTAAAGCAAACCATGAAGAATGGTTTAAAGATGTAAAACCAAGACTAGGACCTGAGGTTTCTCATCTTGTTCTCGCTGCAATCAACACTACATATGAGAATATAAAAAATATGTACAAGGTCAAGACTGAGATGCGGGCTGCTGTGCAAAGTCTTCTAAAGGTGTTGCAGATTCTTCTCCTACCTCCCCCTTTCTTTTGCTTCGATTTTGTTTCCACTCATAAGGTGTTCAGCTTTTTTAACCCATTGTTATAGTTAATTACTGTTTCTGTTTTTTTTATAAGAATGTCAGCCATATGCAATAATACAAATATGTTTCCCTGTTTATTGCCAGGACAGCTTTGTTATTAACTTCTTAGAATTATCTCGCCTTGTACTTATAAATGAAAACATAGTTTTTGCTTTTTTTTAATATGAAACAGGAGCAACCATCATCTTATTAAGATCTTGAACCTAAAACTTGATATTTGAGAAATTGTTGCCATAAATGAAATGATAGAACCGGCCAGAAGAATAGTACGCGAGATTGCTAGAATTGATCGAATCAAAATTTACATATATTAAATGGCTAATGTACATTAGCAGCATAACACTTTTTAATTTGGGTTGTACTTTAATGGGCCCAAAATTCTCGGATGATAGGACCATGGCCTGGAATTGGATTATCTCACATTCACATAACCAAGTTGTCCTCTTTGTTTCAGGATGATGGGATATTAGTGATTCCTACAATTGCAGATCCTCTACTAAAGCTTAATTCAAAGAAAGGGCATTCCACGGAGTTTCATGACAGAGCATGCACATTATTGAGCATTGCTAGCATGTCCGGGGGCTGTCAGGTGGCTTTTGATGTTACCTGGCTTAAGTTTTCAATCTTGTATGTTGTTTTGTAGCTTGGATATCAGTCATTTATTTAACCTTACATGCTCTTCCCAGGTCTCTGTTCCATTAGGAAAGCATGATGGTTGTCCTATTTCAGTTTCATTTGTCACATACCATGGAGCAGATAAATTTCTTCTTGATACAGTTTTGGATATGTATACTTCTCTGCAAGACCAAGTGAGCATTGCATCCAATTCAGCACCATTGCCTGATGTCAATGGTAATATGGATGCTTCTGAACTCTTGAAGGAGAAGGTTTTACCAACATCTCCCAATATCTGAATTGTTTGATTTGCCAAACAAAATTTCTGCCAATATGAACAGCGCCATGGAGTTTATTTATTGATGGAGTCAGTTTGCACCTTATCCGATTATAACTTGTCCGAATGATGTCATAGTTTGTATATTTGTATTGTTTCCCATTTATAAGTTGTTTTACACTAGACGAGAAACAATAGGAAGAATGCCTTGTTACTTGGATGGTTGAGTTCTTGAACCTGTAAAGAAATTATGGATAACTGCTATTTCTTGCTTATCACTTGTTCAACTTCTTTCTTTATGTTGCAACTTTTCTGAGCAATGTAGCATCCAAGCCTCTCGTGTTTGTGATATGTCATTTCTTCTTAAGTTCATTAACAGCAACTGTGACCAGGATCAAAAGTAGAATTTTCAGCATAAAATCCTAGTAGACATTTTTTTTCAAGTTTCGGTGTCTGGAGAATCAGAACTGGTTATGATTTAAAATCATAGTATGTTCTGTTTGCTTTGAGTTTTAGTCAAGGAAAGGTCTGCTGTTATAAGTTTTTTCATGACAAGTTCCATTTCAGGGAAATGCTGCATTTAAGGGAAAGCAATGGGACAAGGCAGTTAATTACTACAGTGAAGCTATTAAGTTGAATGAGACAAATGCGACATACTATAACAACCGGGCAGCAGCTTACTTGGAACTAGGATGGTATAGTGTCTCTAAGATTTGTTGCCACTTTTTATTGCTTTCTTTTCAGTTCACATACCTCCGAAATGAAACTGATTTTCAGATATGCAGCTCACAGCAAGCTGAAGAGGACTGCAATAAGGCAATATTACTTGACAAAAAGGTAATATAGAATTTAGAAAACATGTGACGGTCAATGGTGCTCTTCAATAAATAACTATCTTTTAAACTTGAAATGTTGAGCTTTTTTATGCACACATGAGAAAAAAGCTGCTGCATTCGAGTGATGTTATTAGTCTGAGTAATAACACTTTTGTGCAGAATGTGAAGGAATATCTGAGACGTGGGACGGCCAGAGCATCACTACTCTGTTATAAAGAGGCCCTTCAAGGTGAGTATACTTCATGGTGCTTATTTCACTTTGCCTGTGATAAGAGACTCATTTCCACCCATATGACTAAAATTATTGATAAATACAACTAATTATGCATTTCAGGTTTTTCTTTTATTTTCTTCTCTTTCGTCTAAATTATGAAGTGTTTGGACTTCCTAGATTTGGGATAAAGATGGGAAAATTAGTTTAGATGATAGAATTCCTATTCCTCGTCATTTTGGTAGGTCCATTCTGTTCATACCGGGTTTGCTACCTGATACGGGTATAATAGAACCATACATAAGGAATAAGTTTCATGGAGCATCTCGCAAATAGTTTTTTCCCGATACATATTGGTGGACATGTATGGGTTGCAAACAGATTTACCCTTTTATTTGTAGCCCAAACTCGTTTATATGCTGTTCGAATCTGCAGTAAGTGTGAGAGAGATGAAGATAGTTTAATAATTGATCCTAGAACAAATTTCTTTCCCCCCCATCACAATCTATTTTCATCTTATAGTTTTCGAATTCAACCCATAGTGCTGCCCTTAAGCAGTGTTTTGTTTTTGGCATTTGCAGATTTCAAACACGCACTGGTTCTAGAGCCACAAAACAAAGTTGCTAACCTTGCAGAGAAAAGATTAAGAAAACTGGTTAGTTGATACTCCCCTTCTCTGCTTCTTATCTCATCTAACGAATATGAAAGAACGTCGATTTGAGATATGCGCAATCTTTATGCAATGTCGGCCCTTTGGATATACTGAAAATCGAAGTGAGAAAGCACATATTGTTTCGAGGGTGATGGCTGTAATTTTAGTTTTGGACACATTGTTTCTTTGTAATCAATATATGTTGGATTTGTTCAATGTTGTTGAGAGTCACGTATGCAATGAAAACCTATTCAAGTGCTACATTCATGTTGAAAAGGGGGAAAATGTAATCCCAAAGTTTATATTTGGAATATGCTTTCTTCATTGTGTTAGAACCAAACGAGGCGGTAGTGATTCAGTATTGTTTAGTGAAAAATTAGAACACTAAATTCTTTTTGACGAGTTCAAAATCTAATCCTAATCCTACTTAGAGAGGAGGGAAAGAAGGGGAGTGCTTCTAATGGGTCTAGAATCCACGACCTAAGGAGATATAAAGGGACAAAGATGAGCAATTTATTCAATGGGCTAAATGTGCTTACTCTAGAACACTAAAATTTTAAAGATCTGGAAGAACAAATTCTATTTTTTCAAAGAGTAAATAAAAGAAAAAAAATAATTAACTATCTATTGGTCTAATGAGAAAAAGTATTAGGTATTTTAAATAAAATTAAAACTTTGAATCTTAATATGAATTAAACAAGTTAGAATTTTGATGTTGTGAGAATATATTTGAATTCTGATATTATGAATTTAATAAATTACGTTAAAAATAATTCTCATAATAAATTTATTATATGGTATCTGACTTTAATTTGATGAGTATATAAAAAATTAAAAAAGAAAATTGTTAATAATGAATTTCCTCTTTATTACGCACTCTCAATAGAATATATATAGATAAATAGAAGGTATATTATGTGTTTAGTATTTGAACTATTACTTTTGTTTTTTTCGTATCTAAATTTTTAATTTTTTATAATTATAATTTATTTTATTGTATTTCGTTATTAAAAATTTATCGTGTTTAGTATTTAAACTATTAATTTTAGTCCGTTTTATTATCTAAAATTTAAAAAAAAAATTAAAATTTTATGTTAAGTTTTTAACGTAAATATTAAAATGAAATAAAAATAAATGTTACATATAATATTAAAAAAATTAAAAATTTAGATAAAAAAGTGTATCAAAATTAATGTTTTTACCGTACTAGGGACTTGTGCGTAAATGGTGGGGTGAATACTTTCTTAACCTGCATGGCGCGGAAACATGAGGCGGGTTTTCGAAAGTTCTGGTAAGAAAGATTCATTGAACAAATTCTTATGTGGAAACGTGTCAACATTCAATGCTGGGTTTTGAATTATGGAGTGGTTATCTTATTAGATTAATTGTTTTTATATAAAATAAAAAAGAATTTAATGAACTACATAAATAATAATTAAATATATTATTATTTTATTTAAAAACAATAATGTAATGTTTGATTTTGAAGGTAAT